GTGGTGCGTGCCTGTAGTCCCAGCTACTCAGGAGGCTGAGAGAGGAGAATCGCTTGAACGCAGGAGACAGAGGCTGCATTGAGCAAAGAGAGTGCCTCTGCACTCCAGCCTGGTGACAGAGTGAGACTCCATCTCAAAAAAAGAAAAGAAACTCCCTTGTTAGTGAATTCTCAGGTCCTCCCTACAGACCAGACCTACTGTAAGACAACCTGTGATTTAACAAAGTCCCCAGGGAACTCCATGCACATGAAACATGAGGGCTCCAGTTACTGGGAGACAATTCCCCACTTGGAATTCTCGCCCTACTCCGTTTCTGTCACCACGGACTCCCTGTGATTCCGACTCTCCTTTACACGATGAATAGCCTTGGAAGACAGAGATCACATCTCCCTTCAGAGCAAAAGGCAGATTTGTTCCAATTTTTACAGAAGATTCCGGCTCCTGTGCTGTAACCTAAGCCCTTATGTCCTGAGGTTACCTAGAGCCTCTTCGTGTCACCTTGTGGGAAATGATTCTGAGGAAACTAGCACAATTGCAAACACCTGGTTACTGCTGCCGCTGTGACTAGTAAACATCCTTTGTCTCCGGTCCCAGAGTCTCCTGTCTTTAGCTAACATCCATGAAATTGTGGCAGGCATCTGGGTGCAGTGGCTCACGCCTGTAATCCCAGCACTTTGGGAGGCCAAGGTGGGCAGATAACCTGAGGTCAGGAGTTTGAGACCAGCCTGGCCAACCTGGTGAAACCCTATCTCTACTAAAAATACAAAAATTAGTGGGCCATGGTGGCGGGCACCTGTAGTCCCAGCTACTTGGGAGGCTGAGGCAGAATTACTTGAACCCGGGAGATGGAGGCTGCAGTGAGCCAAAGCAGCACCACTGCGCTCCAGCCTGGGTGATAGAGTAAGACTTTGTCTCAAAAAAAAAAAAAAAGTTTTAGAAACACTGACGAGTCCCCCCATTAGGAGAGAGATAGCCTCATCTGTTTGGTATTCATCCTTTCAGTCTTTCTCTATTAATGTATCTACATACAGGAAAACAAAATTGCCAGGGGTGTTGGCTCATGTCTGTAACCCCAGCACTTTGGGGAGGCTGATGTGTCAGGATCACTTGAGGCCAGGAGTTCAAGACTGCAGTAAGATAACCACCCTGCCCTGCAGCCGGGTAACAGAACAAGACTCACGCTCAAAAAAACCAAACGCCGGGTGCTGTTCGAAGCACTTTGCATATATCAACTCATTTAATCCTCACAACATCTGCAGAGAAACAAACTCGCCTCATCCCATTCTACAAGGAGTTTAAGGGGCTTGCCCAAGGTCACACAGCCAGTAAGTGGTGAAGCTGGGATTTGAACCAGGCATTGTGCCTCAAAGTCTATGTGTACTCACTCTACTATGGGTTACTCCCAGTTTTAAATGCCCTCTTTGCCTTTCCTAAGAGCCAAATGGTATCGGGGCTGGGCACAGTGACTCATGCCTGTAACCCCAGCACTTTGGGAGGCCGAGGCAAGCAGATCACTTGAAGTCAGGAGTTTGAGACCACCCTGGCCAACATGGTGAAACCCCGTCTCTACTAAAAATACAAAAACGAGCCGGGAGTGGTGGCACATGCCTGTAATTCCAGCTACTTGGGAGGCTGAGGCAGGAGAACCGTTTGAACCCGGGAGGTAGAGGTTGCAGTGAGCCAAGATTGCGCCACTGCACTCCAGCATGGGTGACAGAGTAAGACTCTGTCTCAATTAAAAAGAAAAAGAAGAAAGAAATGGCACTGGGACAATGTGAGGATCTTTGATTTTGTGTCCCCTACGTAGATATAAGTGGTAGTAACGTCCTCTCACAGTTTAGTGCTGAGAAAAAAACTTGTCTTTTTTTGTTTTGAAATGGAGTTTAGTTTTTGCTGTCCTGGCTGGAGTGCAGTGGCACCATCTCGGCTCACTGAAACCTCCACCTCCCAGGTTCAAGTGATTCTCCTGCCCCAGCCTCCCGAGTAGCTGGGATTACAGGCGTGACTTCCTCACATTAGTGTAAAAAGTTTACAGGAGACCCTTGTTTTGGACTAAGCTCCTCCACTAGGCCCAACAGGCCACACCAGCCAAAATGAAGTCACTTGTGGTAGGTACCCCGTAATCACCCTGAACTTTAAAATGTGTCAGTTTTCCAGAAAACAAGAGATTCACAGCAACCGACAGAAAGGGTTTCAGTGCCTCTATCACATAGGTGTCTTGTATTGTAATTACCCCGTCTCCTTCTGAAAGTAAGTGGATATAAATTAACACAGGAATAAAATGAAGGAAACATTTACACTAGGTTTTTGGACCCTTCTTGCTTTGTAAGAACTCCTGGGGTCGGGAAGGTGGTGTGCTGGCATCGGGAACACCCTGTGAATTGTCTTGCCAGCTTAATTACCTAAACAAAACCCAAAGGCTTTTGGAGGAAAGGAGTAATTTGTAATTACCAGCAGTTGGTTTGACACACCCAAGGCCCATGTTCTCATTGTGAAAAGGAAGCCAGCAAACATAAAGAACAAAAACCTCCCACTTAAAAAAAGCCCTTCATGCTCTAATGACTTGATACAACAACTGCACCACTGTGAGCTTGAAAACAGTGCTTAGTCTGACAGCCACACGTTGCCTCACATGGTCATTCTCACCACCACCAAAGCCTGCAGTTCTCCAAAAAATTACCAATGGCTGGGGACGATGTAATTTTTATTTTTGCTAATATGAATTTATTTTATTTATTATTTATTTATTTTTTGAGACACAGTCTCATTCTGTCACCCAGGCCGGAGTTCGGTAATGTGATCTCAGCTCACTGCAACCTCCACCTCCTGGGTTCAAGTGATTCTCCTGTCTCAGCCTCCCAAGTAGCTGGGACTACAGGCACATGCCACCACCCGGCTAATTTTTTGTATTTTTAGTAGAGACTGGGTTTCACCGTGTTAGCCAGGATAGTCTCCGTCTCCGGACCTCAGGTGATCCGCCCACCTCGGCCTCCCAAAGTGCTGGAATGACAGGCGCGAGCCACCATGCCCAGCCGAATTTTTTTTATTTTTTTAAATGAGCACTTTCAGGCCGGGCATGGTGGCTCACACCTATAATCCCAGCACTCTGGAGACCGAGGCCAATGAATCGCTTGAGCCCAAGAGTTCAAGACCAGCCTGGGCAACATGGTAAAACCCTGTCTCTACAAAAAATACCGAAATGACCCAGGTGTGGTGGTGCGCACCTATAGGCCCAGCTACTCAGGAGGCAGAGGGTCCAGTAAGCTGAGATTGAGCCACTGCGCTCTAGCCTGGGCAACAGACCAAGACCCTGTCTCAAACAAACAAGCAAACAATGCAGCAAAGATGCGGACAGCCCCTTCCCCGGACAAACCACTAAATTCCATATATTGTATTAGCAAGTTCGCTTTAGAAATACAGGCATTCGGCCAGGTGCAGTGGCTCACGCCTGTAATCTCAGCCCTTTGGGAGGTCGAGGCTAGGGTATCCCCTGAGGTTGGGAGTTCAAGACCAGCCTAAACAACATGGAGAAATCCCGACCCTACTACAAGTACAAAATTAGCCGGCCATGGTGGCGCATGCCTGTCATCCCAGCTACTCGGAAGGCTGAAGTGTCACGCGAACCCGGGAGGCGGAGGTTGCGGGGGGGGGGGGGGGGGGGGCGGGGGCAAGACTGCACCACTGCACCCCAGCCTGGGCGACAGAGCGAGACTCCGTCTCAATAAAAACGGGCATTTCACATCTTCTGTCAACAGCCGAAGGGGTGTGTTTTCTGTTTTCACACTGCTGCGAAGAACT